AAAAGACATAAGACAGAACTGATGCATTAGAGTAGCAATAAATAACTAGTCGAAGATATAATTAGGCATACAATCGCCTGTTTCGGATCTTGACTGTTCATCTAATAGAGCTCGTACAAAGCAGACTCAGCTAACTAGAGGTAAATTATAGAGGGCTTCACTAATATGAGAAAGAATTTATAATATCACAGATTGATAAAGATCTTCAATAATTATTTTGAAATTTTTTTTATTGAGAATATGTTAGCTTGAAATAGGACAAAATATCGTATGAATACTTTCTTAAAAGCATGCCTTATCAAGGAATGTAACTGAGTTCCGAAAGGTCTCACATTTATTCTGCAAAATGTTTTATATTCATGCATATATGATAATGAATATAAATATCATAACTAAGATTAATCACCGACTTTGCTTAATCTATAAAAATAATTATATATTATAATCTTTTCAAAGGGCTCAACAATTTAGAGACTTGAACATGCCAGATGCTAATACTAATTTCCATCCAAAATATACCCATACCTCCTAACATATTTGCGAATCTGCTTGATAAGAGGTTGTGCAAAAACATTTTCTGTATACATTTTTGATTTGTTTTGTTTTTGAAATACAATAAAAACACATTTGTCATGTTCTGGCTGCATACTTTATGAATCGAAACTTGAAGCAGTGCGACACAGCCTTGAGTGGGGCTAGCTGTCAGAGACATAAAAACCCCTGCGTAATTCCCTCGTAATGCCGCTGGCGCTGCCCCGCGCGTCGCGCGATGCCCTCCCCGGCGGATCTGACATGAAGCTACTTGGCAATGCAGTTGACAGCCTCGCTTTGATTATTTTTGCGCATTTGTTGTGCTTTAATTCTCAACCAGTTTTGACATTGAATATTTAGAATTTCATTTTGTTTTGCCATCAATTTGCGATGGTGTTTTCGTCAGAGTTTTGTCAGCAATTTGACAGGCCGAGGCGCTTAAGAGCCGCAGCAAATAGCCCGGGGCTTACTTAAATGCTGTAGTTTCTCGGCTAGAGCCACATGTTGTCTGCGGATCTCAAGTCTGAAGTGGCGAGCGCTTTAATCGTGTCGCAACTCATAATTCATTTCATTTCCTGAATACATTTCGCTGTCATTTTATGCGTTGGCCGATTTTGTTTTTGTTTTTAACTTTTTTTGCTCTTATTTTCCCATTTTTCCTCAGCTTTTTTTCTTTTTGTGGCAATTTCCTTGTGAGATTTGGCGCAGCTGATAAGCTGCCACGTCTAGACTAGAGACTCTTTTTGCTGCGGCCCACAGAGAAACCTAGAGACAGACGTCGGCGATAAGCCGTAGCACTGCCGGGCCCTGCCCCCTAGGCCAGTGGCTGTCAAACTGCAACTCGTTAGCGAAAGTTTTGTCGATTGGGAAGCTGCGCAGGAAATTGCATTCATTTCGTTCGCTTTGGAGCTGACATTTACCAGGCCACACAATAGACAGGCATGCCAATGGAGCAGCTATTAAATGCCAGTGCACATTACACAATAAAACAATAAACAGTGAACCCTGCCCGAAAATATTCGCAATGCAAATGCAAAACACTTAGACGCCTACGTGACTTCGCAGCCGTCGAATAAACTCGGCTTCGAAATGCCAGATTCGCCTTCGATTTGGGCAGGCCTTGAGTTGGTTTGACTATTGACAGCTCAGAATTAATTTGATCCATTTGCGCATTTTTAGCCACGTCGCAGTTTGGCATGCACTGCGCTGTTCTATTCGATTCACATAATAATGGCGGAGATCTCTTTCTTTCTGCTTTGCTGTCTTGGCTTTGCCAAGGCTCAATCTTCTGTTGCAGCTAAAGCGTAATGCGACAAAGTTCATGTAAAACTGCGGGTCACAAATTGTACCCAACCCTGTTGAGGCTTTTTGTTGATTTTTTGCAATTTACAAACTCTATTATTTATATTATTTTCAAGTTTATTCAGTCTGGTAGCTCATGAACAATTTACTCGTTCGTAAGAGAGTCATATTGGACAGTTCAATCAAATGAAACGTTCATGAACAACTGATTAACTCAGTAAAGAGCTTTGTTGATTTGCAATTGAACTGCATCACTGAACAAGTTTTTTCGAATGAACAACTCAATTGAACTTATTCCGTTTTCTATTCTACAGTCACAAGAATAAATACGAAGTGACTGCACGATGCTCGCTCACAAACGACTAAATATATTTTCACATTTTAGGATTTACTAAAATTAATAATAACTATTCTACGGTTAAGTTTGAGCAATCCTTTAAGAAATCAAATAATGAGCTCTGTAGATGCTCCTCAATACTTTGACTTCCTTTAGAGATTTACATCAATGTGCATACTTCCCCAACCCTACGTACTCTATTCATACTATGAACGAGTGTAATAAGATATTAATATTCTTTATTTTTCATTCAATTTTTTCATTTTCTAACTAACTTCTATATAAGTCGGATTTCTCCAGCAGCTATCAAGGCCGCTCTGTAAAGCACAGTCCGCTTTCTCTTTGCCTTGAGCCTAGCTCGTGGTTTAATCGCTTCCTGGTTCTGCCCGAGTGCAGCCCGCATATCGCGTATGCCAACTTTATGAGTTTCAGTTTTTTTTTTTTTCAATTTTTTTTATCAACCATTTGACACTTGGACTGGCAGAACAGGCACTTAAAATGTATCTATAAGTACGATTCTGTCGGCCGCTGTCTCTGTGTGAATGTGGATGCCATGTGGCGGCTGCTTTGCTGCGGCGGCACCGCAATTCCATGCCACATGCCCACCACTTGTTGTTGTTGCTGCTGCTGTTGCTTTTGCTGCTGCTGGTCATGCTGTTGTCAATTGGTTTGTTAGTTTGACTGCAGTCGTTGACACTTGAAAGGGAGCTTCAGTTCAGTTGGGTTCGAGTTCGCTTCGCTTCGCTTCGGTTTCTAGTTCTGGCTCTTTCGCAACTTGCGGACTCTGCTGACAGACATGGCTCGAGTCATGTTGTTGTCGTTGTGCAATAGCAGCAGCAGCAACAGCAACATCAACAGCAGCAACAACCACAATAATAATAGCAACTGGCAATTGCAATAAATAACAATGTTCTAATGTCATCAACATAAGCAGAAGTCTATTGCCTTGCTATCTCTCTCTCTCTCTCTCTGTCTGGGTGTCTCTTTCTATTGCTTTTCTCTCCAGCCAGCCTTTGTTGTTGCTGTTGCTTTTTAGCACTGCGTGAATTGGCTGTAATTGTTTTGATTGCAGTTCATTGCATGTTCTTCACACAGCGCTCTCTCTATCTCTCTCGCTCGTACTCTTTATCTCCCTGTCTTTACCTCTTGCTCTCTCTTTCCTGCAGCCTTCACCTCTGTCTGCCTCTCTTTAATAAAGAGCTATTTTAATTGTTGCTGCTGTTAGATACATCAGCTTTGCCAATGCTGTAATTGTTCTACATTGATGGAGTTATTAAAAAAAAAAAAAAAAACTATTCCGACAACCTTAACTGCAGTGGTTCATAATTCAAAGACTGTTATTATACTAGAGTTGAGAGACGAGCAGTGAAACAGAACAGAAGAAATACGGGCTAAAGACAATTTCCTCTTGCAATATAGATTCGATATCGATATACGATCTTGATCTGTGGGGTAGGCCCAATTAAACTTCGATTCACAATGATTAAATTTTCAAGAAGAGAGTTACAGATATATTTTTATATAGTAAGTTTATTTCTCTAGTAAAAGTTGCTTTCGCATATAACCATCTTTATTTATAAATTGAGACTACTATCCAAAGAAAGATTTATAGATTTTTTTTTTTTACATATTTATATTTATTGATAGCTTTGCTTTTGGTTTCCAATTGGGGATACATTTGTCTTTTTATCTGATCTTTAACAGAATATAAATTCAACATATATTCAATATGATCAGATGTATTTATTAAAAGAAATTAATTAGTGAACGACCAATATATTCAGGCATATCCATAGATATTTCTCTTTTACTTATGTTTTCCACTTGAAGATAGGCTTGTTATTTGTTCGTCTGATAATTATTCGAATATAGACTTGATATATATTAGAATTGATGTAATATTCTTAATACGCAATTGGGTTTGTCAGTTTCCTCTGATGTAGGCATAGAGAGAGAATTGTATATGTATGTGAATCTCTGTTATTTCAATGCCCTAAGTACAACTTAGTCAACTGGCCCTTTACACATCATTACAGGTTTGTTTCAAAAGAACTCAGTTCCACATAAAAAGGTTCATTTGTTAGCTCATTTAGTATGTCAAACAGGCCATAAAGAGTACACTTAAGACCTAGTAAAACTGGAGCTTTAGCAATATCTAGTGTAGGGCCTACTCCCAAGTCTTGCATAAATCCATTGCTCAATAGTTCGTTGCTTTAGTTTATTTCCTCGTTAAACAATTGACACTCACATTGCCTTGAGACGCTCTTAGCACGCGCTTTTGGCCCTTTTCGTGTGTTGGCTCGAAATGCTTTCAGCAGGCCATTCAAAATCCGACAACTCTTCGAATCCATTAGATACGCTCCATTGTTAAAGTACATATATACATACGCTCATATATGTATATGTATATATATATATATATATATATATATATATATGTAATTTTGTATCTGTCCGTCAATCAAAGGCCTGTGGCATTCAGTCATGTGAAATGGATGCTAATTGGGCGTTAATGAAAAGCTTAAGCCGTAAAACTGAAACGATAAAAATAAGAGTATTTAGCCGACTTTAGAGCTGAGCTGCACTTAGCCCATTATGTGGGCGTGACAGCTGAAGCAGGTTCAATGCACGCTGCTCGATGCGTGGCATCAATTAAGCATGATTGATGCAGCTTTAGTCTCTTCTATCGACCCCCAGCAATGAGACCCCCCAGCCGCAGTATAAACACATACATAAGAAACGAACTGAACAGAAATAAAGTGAACTTCGATTAATCAATGCGCCCCGAGTGAAAGACTAAATCGAAGACAAACATGAAAATCCAATGAAAACAGAAATCAGTGCCAACTCGAACAAGCCCAAAGTCCAATCGAGAGCTGAGCCCCGCAATGTCCGCGGCTAGTACCAGCAACCGCCCACCTTCCTCGCCGCTCTCGACGCCCCTCTACGATGGCTATGCCACGATACGGGCCCGCGGGCTCAGCCGCTCCCGCTCCATACGCGCCGCAGAAGCCACCGAGGCGGCGGCCGCTGCTCAGCCGCACGAGCTGCAGCTGGAGCGCAAGCGCACCGTCTCGCTGAGGAGCAACTACAGTCGCAGCTCCTCGCTGAGCGGCAACGGGGTGGAGGAGATCTACGCGAGGGCCAAGCCTGTGCGCACGCCCATCATCGGGGACCTGGAGCCGATCTATGCGAGTGCCACAGCTACAGCAACAGCAGCAGCATCGGCAGCAGCAGCAGCCACAACTGCAGCGGGTTTCCGGCCTCTCTCGGATGCGTCGAGCTCCTCCGGCGGCGGCTCCATGCCCTGCGACTATCAGAGCGTTAAGAAGAACTCGCGCTTCTCGCTCGACTCGTTGCAGAGCAGCGCCACGCCCAAGACGCCCGACTACAACACGGCCGGCGAGGAGGAGCACATCTTCCTCTACACGGCGCCGGCGAGCCCCAAGCGCCGGCTGGACAGTGGGCTGCGCAGCTCGTACGACAGCTCGGAGCGCGTCTGCTACTCGCCGCTGCCCAAGATCAGCTTCGACATGCAGGAGCGGGACGGCCGCCAGCAGCAGCAGCATCAGCAGCAGCAGCGAGCCGCGCTGCGCCACAACTCGGTGGGCTCTGCGGGCAGCGCTCGGCTGAGGCCCATGACGCTGTCGCTGACTGAGGCGTCCGGCTGTGGCTCGCCCACGGGACTGCCGCCGCCTGCGCCCGTGCGCCGCGAGAGCCTCTATGCCAAGCCAAAGATCTATGCCACGCCCACGCGGCCGCCCACCACGAAGCGGCTGAACCTGTACGAGCTGCCCATTGTGACGCAGCGCAGCAGCAGCACCGACCACCTGTTGGAGCGCTCCTACACCAGCCAGAGCCTGGCCACCATCGACCAGGACGAGCTGCTGGTGGTGCCCACGGCCATGCCCATGCTGCCCAGCGCCGTGGACCGCCGCTACCACACGCTCGGCCACATGCGCGTGAAGAGCATGGCGGCTGGCCTGCACCGCAGCATGGACACCCACGACATCAACTCCGGCTGGCCCGCGCCTCCGGGCAACCACAAGTCGGCGGGCAACATCTACGCCTCCGCGGATGCGGCTGTCAGCGATCTGAATCGCATGGCTCCCGAGTACATGGATCCGCTGGACTTCAAGATCGGCTGCCAGACGACGCTGCGCAGCAGGCCGCTGATACCATGGTACGAGCTAGCTATACGGCGCGACTTTAAGCGGCAGTCCTGCCCGCCCATGGGCGCGTCCCTGACGTTGCCCACATCCCCGCAGCTGAATGATCAGGTGAATAAAACTATCGATCATTGAAATGATTGATATGAGAAAACGAAAACGTTATTTACACCCGCAGGAAACGAATATAACAGTTTCAAGTCTGACCAATCATATAGAGGTTAATGATCAATACAAATATTTCTTAGATTATTAACAATTGAAATCAGCCGAAGAACATGAGTAAGAGCTATGAATATTTCGAATTATTCATAACTAGCTAACTTTATATCAGATCAATTTGAATATGATTGGATGTGGCTATGATCGATAAATGGTATCGAATTAATATTAAGATTTAAGATGTATCATTTTAGCGTTAAGGAAAAGTAAATATCACTATTTAAAGTTCATCCTTAATAATGATCGATAACTGTTACCAAATCAATGTCTGTCGATAGCATTTTTTTGGCGATTTATTGACTATGTTCTTCTTCTTTAATAACGCCTAGAATACCATACTATCATACATCATTTAGAGTATTATCCTTAATATAAAGGTAGTGTATTTATTGTTCGTAGCAAAACTGATATTGATCGATAGTCATCGAATATATGTGATGCATCAATAGATGTTGCGAGCAATTTCTTGGCATTATAAGAAGCATTAGGAGAAATGTCTCTTCTTTTTCAATGAATATCCATCAATTTTTACTTAAGAAAAAATATACCTATTTGTAGTCACATTTGCTTCCATATGTACATTTGTCTCATATCTCAAAAGAACATTTGAGCAACAGCAGAGGGAAACCGCATCTCTAGCGATTTACTGACTTGTTTAATCATTCCATTGATACAATAGATACAGACACATATATTTTCTATTCAATCACTCGTTCGCTTTCGAAAGCCTTGAGGAACCTTTTGCCATTCGTGAGTGCATGAAATGTCTCATTGAGTTCATCGCATTAGCTTGCAAGATAGATGCGTTGGCTCTCAAACTCGATTGTCATATTATTTGTTGCATTCGAACAATGCCAGCTATGCATCGGCTATGGATACTGCTGCAGCTAGCTGGCTGACTGGCTGGCGAAGAGAAACGCAGTTGGCATCAACTTGGCAACGGTTTGGCCATGTGGCCTGTTCCTTGTTCCTTCTTTTGCGAAATGCAGCAGGCATAGCTCGTCCGGCTTTGGCATTACGAATGCAGGCAGTGGCGCATAAGGTAAGCTATGCGAGTGGCCAACGTCCACTTGTACGGCTGTCCACAGGTCTGTCCAGCTGTCTTGTCAGTTGCCGTTAGACGCGTTGCCCACTGATTGATTTAATAAAAGTTGCATGAGCCTCGCTCGCTGCGCGCTTCTTGCTGCCTGCCTTTGGGCGCGACGAGAGAGCACTTCAGCATATTAAATAAATGAGCCAAGACGTTGGCCACATCCATGGCAGACGAACAGTTTGGCCAGCACTGGGCCTGCTGATTTTAATCCTGCTTCCGCTCTGGTTCTGGCTATGGCTCTGGCTCTGGATCAGGCTCTGGCAGCAACCAACATCTGTTGGCCATGTCCAAATCTGTTGACCTGATTCGCAGAACACGCAATTGATATGTTGTCCAAGCTGAAATAAGCTGCAGCTGCCCCAGTCTCGCTTGCTGTCTCTTTCTAACGAGCTGCGCAGCATATGGGATATTTGAGCTTGGCCCAGAGTCTCCGTGCAGTGGCAGCAAATATATATATATTTTTTAAATCAAAGCTGATTCTAAAGAGTTGAAAAACAAAGTGCACTTCGTCAAGATGGACCCTAGATCTAGTGGCGTATAATGAATAGCAGTTGACTGCCCTATCCTTTGACATCATTTATTGTCATTTGTAACTTGTCCTAATACTATTGTAGTAGCTGAACATGAATTAGTTTTTTATATAATGCTGAGCTACTGTCGCAACGATGATTACCGATTATGTACCCCATTTTACCAATTTTAATTGTGCTCAAAGTACAACAACAATATCAATGTCTATCGCCAATTGCGGGTCCAATCAATGTCAACTCTAAAAGCAAATAAAGCTGCCAATAATAAATATAGATATCTTTCGATTTTGCTGCCTTTGATTTGGCGCGTTTTTAATGCCGTTTTTTTAGGCTTAGCCAGTTTTTTGGAGAGTGTTTCATGTTTATTTATGAGCGGCGCTCGACGAGGCTCAACAGCTGCCAATCGAGCTGGTAACTCGAGACGAGACGAGAAGAGCCGAGTCTTTGGCTTTGGCTTAAATGAAAAGTGAAATTGGTAGCTTGATAGCCTGGCCAGATTGCCGGCGGGCGTGTGAAACGATCGCCGTCACAGTAGCCTGACTGCAGTTACAGTTTGAGCTGCACTGTGCCACACACACGCCCAGGCAGAGCTTGATCAGTTCAGCAGTTCAATTGGCTCAAGTTGAAGGTCACGCGTTGATTGCTGCTAATTGATAGAGAGAAATTAACATATTTGGCAATTATTAGCAGCCTGACGTCTGCCAACATCGAAGTTGAATCCTACAGCTGATTTATGCGATTTTGATTGATCGATGGATGGGTCACAATGGGTCAATCAATCATGTTATACATAGGCACAAACTGCGCCATCAATTGACTAAATATCTCACTTAAATCTAGGTGACAGCGCGTGCAGGAGAAAGGGGTATAAGAATGCCGAATGATGTAAATGCACGACAAAGAAAGGGCATCTACATATGTCTTAAGTGCTTGAGAATAAACTTATATATTTTCACTTTCATTAATATGCAAAGATATATATTGTCATGATATTAAATACCCAAACACCCAGGGTGAAAACAAATGAATAATAAGGCAATAATTACTATAATAATATATATATATAATATAATAATATTAAATAATAAGATATATAGATTGTATAGAAAGTTAATTAATAACATTTGCCTCTTGGTATAGCATTGAGTTCTTTAGGCATACAAGTTTCATATGAACTAAGTACGAGTTGCCTGGGGGTCGATTTCCAGCTGAACCATATACAACTTGTGTGAGTATAGGCAACCAAAACGCACTCAATTAATTATAACTAAGATATCTATTTTGGCAAATTTAATTATGAGGTTCACCTTGAAGCGGATGCATGAGGCTAGCTGTAAGACTCAGTAAAGCTGCCAGCCAACTGTCGAGCTCTGCTGGCGGCTCTTCCTTCTCAGGCTGATGGTGCTCCGGTTGCTCGAATCGTATCGCAGAAATAACAGCATGCATAATTAATAAACAGAACTTTGAGCAACAAATTGGCCAGTTTATAGCTGAGTTCCTCGCTTGGCTTAAGTAACTCGTTAGCTTTTATCTCTTGGCATCGCTTATTAAAGCAAACGCTTGATCAACGAGATCTGGCGATTGTGGACAGCCTGTCTACACATGCAACGTGAAAAGGTGTACATATATATCTTTATGAACATATATGTCATTTGTATGTCTTGGATAGTCGTTATAATTGCCACAAAGCAACCCGCTGAGCGCTGAGCACTCAGTGATTGACGTACTGACTGACTGAATGACTTACTGCCTGCCTGCATCTCCCTCTCTCTCTCTCTCTCTCTCCCTCTCTTTCTCTTTCTGGGCCCCTAGTTTCGGCGGCTTGTTTTTGTCAAAGGCAACATGACAGCAACACCTGATCTATGCGCTGTTTTTTCGTTCGGTATCTGCATTCTGGCATTTGGCTATCTGAACATGGTTTCTGAATTCTTCGCCTTGGCGCAGTGGCAGCCTTTTAATTTATGACAAATGCAATTTGTAGCTGCTTAATTCATAAATATTTATTTCGAACAGCGCACCAAACGGGGCCACGTGAGCCGCCTTTGCAGCTCACAGGTGTCTTAGCTTATTTACTTTTGGTTTTTTGTTTTTGGACGAAAACCTGTTTGCAGAGCAGCTGAAACTCGTTTCATTTGAGCTGCTAATAGAGACAGAGATCCGACAGACAGCGCGCCTGATGAAGCTGTTCGGGCTGCGCTGCCCAGGCCACAGGACGCACTCGCTTTGGTGGCCTCCCCAAGGAAATCAGCGCAAGCGAAAGCAAACTCAGGCAGACGAGCAAGCAGAACAACAAGAGCCAGAATCAAAACAGAAAACAAACAACAATGGACAAACAGAAGACACCGAATGAGCTCCGCCTCCTGCTCGGTGCCCTCTGCCAAGCAGAGGAGTAAAGTTTTATTCGATTCGAGAACCGGCGTAAAAAACTACGCATTGAAAACTGGTCGCGGGGCGCAGTTCAGTGGAGTGTTCTTCGAGGTTTCAGTATGTATCTTCATTTTAAAGCACACACACACACAGGCATGTACACACTCATGCAGAGACCTACACACGTCTGGCTGTAATCCTGAACGTGTGTCTTTTGTGGCTTCCGGTCTTGAAATCGAATAATCAATAAAAGAAAAACAAAAGCAGGCAGAAAACTAAAGAAATCTGAACAACGCGCTCTTCAATGGACATTGATCGTGTCACAGAAAAACAGTCGAGTCATGCCAGAGGTTGAAAGGGGGGAAAAAGGGCACAGAGTCGTACAAGAGGAAAATATGAGGGGGAAAACTGAAGAGTTCGTATATTAATGAATGGAGGGGTCTGCGAGTCGAGTGCAGGTATTAGGGCTAAATTGGGCATTTTACGATGCAGCCGAATATGGAATATAAATGGAAACATTTCTGTTTTTCTGGTGCCTCTACGATACATGCGAAACTCACTTGAAAGTTAATGAAATCCAGCATGCGAGCTCTCGAATTAGATTTTGTGGTCAATTGCAAGAGATACTTATCGAGGCGCATCTACGGAAAACACTTTAGGAATTCCAATCCTATGGAATTCCCAGTCTCTGTTATCCTATTAATTGTCCATTAGCACATCTAATCTATGATGCAAGACCAATCCCCAAATGGCCATAAATTATGCATATTGAATGTCTAAATAGCATTAAATGCAGCATTAACTCACAATCGCTTCTCCTCTGCTTTATCTTTACAGGTAAGTCTCGACCCAGCATCGATTTGAGCCACACTTGGGGGTATCGTAAGTAGTTGTTGCTG